CACTCCCCCACCTCACTTTCCCCGCCTTCCTTGCAGAGGCCATGGAGGACGAGGAGAGGCAGAAGAAGCTGGAGGCCGGCAAAGCGAAGGTAGGAGAGACCGAGGCCTCTGGGCCTGCGGAGAGGCGGGGGCTGGGACGGGAGGCGGGGGCTTGGGGAAAGGGCTCGCGGCGGTCTCTGCCTGCCTAGGGCGGGGTCCACAGGGCTGAGTCTTGCCTCGCCCCCCTGTCGCCTTTACCTGTGCTCTAGCTAGCGGATAACGCTTCCGTGAGGGCTGCATGGTGTGCCCCTTCCTGTGAATGCCCAATCAAATCCTGCTGTCTGACTGTAGCCTGGGATTTAATTGCTTCTGAATCTCCAGCCTTTCCTCTTCTCAGGGAGTCTCCTGGGCGGTGCGAGCATTGTGTTTTCCAGAGTGGAGATTTAGGGCTTTTCTTTATTCGGTGGGGGTTTGTGCGCGGGTCGTCAGCATCGTCAGCATGTCTTCTTAGGTGGCACGCTGGCACTCCTGGGTGAGTGTGATTGGCCTGTGACAGCTGCCTCAGCGGTGGCTGGAGTGTGCCACAAGTGCCAGCTGGGAACTCAGCTTCAGGGGAGTTTTTAGAAGCGGATCTTTGTATGTCGTGCTTGGAGGTCTTTGTCATGGCAGGCGCTTTCGTGTCGTGTGGAATGTTAATGCTGTCTATGAATGGAACTTCTGGGGACCGAAAGCTTCCAAATTCCGACCAACACCTATGAAATTCCTGCTTTAAATAATTTATTTGTTGCATATCTCCCTGGTGAGTCCTGATTTTGTGTGTGTATACGCATAAAAAAGCCTGCAAACAATAGAACATTATACTCAGGTGTCATTCATTGAGCTTCATTAAAAATTTGACAAATACAAAATATAAGTTGAATAGCATATTTCTTTATTTTTTTTGCGTGTATACTTGAGGTTTTATTTTAGACCAGGTTGCAATTGCATGTTGTGTGGCAATTGTAACCAGACAATATAGATTTCTCTTCAATAAAACCAGGGGCTGTAATTAAATCTCTGTTTTTCAAACATGGATCCTTGGACCACTTATAATCGTAGTCACCACAGTTGCTTATAGAATTGCAAAATTTTGGGCCCCAGCCTAGGTCTACTGGTCTACTGGGGCCCCAGCCTAGGTCTACTGAATTTTTAGAGGTAGAACTCAAGAATCTACATTTTCAATAATCAGCTCAGGGGATTCTGATGCACATTGAAGTCTGAAAATGCCTAAATCAGGTAGTTAGTAATATCCCTTTCTTTTTCTTTCTTTCTTTCTTCTTTTTTTTTTTTTTGAGTCGGAGTCTCTTTCTTTCACCCAGGCTGGAGTGTAATGGTACAATCATGGCTACTGTAGTCTTGACGTGCTGGGCTCAGGTGATCCTTCCTCTTTAGCCTTCCAAGGAGCTAGGAACTACAAGCATGCGCCACCATGCACAGCTAATTTTTTGATTTATTGTAGACATGAGGTCTTGTATTCTTGCCCAGGCTGGTCTTGAACTCCTGGACTCAGGCAGTCCTCTCGTCTTGGCCTCCCAAAGTGCCAGGATTACAGACGTGAGCCACCGTGCCCGGCTACTAATACTCCTTTCATCCTGCACATTTCCTCATTCAGTGATTTTTTTCGCCCATTCTGGAGAACCTAGAGCCTCTTTCTAAGAAAGAATTTGGCCCTGCATCTTACCCTTCATGAGGAGGCCTAAGCTGACTAAAGGTTGACTTGCAGTAGAGTGAAGGGATCTCCCCAGGATGTAAAGCTTTCAGTTTTAAAACCAGGTAGACTGAAATGAATTGGTCATCCTACAAAGACCCAGTCTAGTGGTTATTTATTCCATTGCAGGGACCTATCAGTTCACACATTGTGTGCCAGCCCCACGTTCAAGAGTAGCTGAGACTTATTTTTACCTGGCACTCTATTTGGCAAAAGGTCAAGTAGCCTTTGTGGCCCCCCTGGTGTGAGGATCAGCTCAGAAACCATGTTGCCCACTCTGCAGTCCATTTGTTCCCAGCAGCGATGGGGAAGGGGGGCCTGCAGTCCCAGGGGAGTTGCCAGGGAGGGCTTTCGTCAGCCACTCCCAGTGAATAGCAAATTTCTTGTAAAAATTACCTATTAGGCTGGCCTCAAAGGCCCCCTTCCTCCCTAAAATGAAGTTATATTTTGTAGAGTATATTTTAACTGTCTTTGTAGAGGTAGTTGTTAGCAATCATACTTGGACAGCAATTAAATTATAATGCAGTGGCTTTTCCCCTCTTCCTTTTTCCCTCTCCCCCGTATAAACAAAGGAAGCCAGGTTAATGATTTATCATCAATGAAGGACATACTGCAGAGATTCAGTGGTAGCTGCTCAACACTTTTGTTAAATGAATATGCATATAAACTGCTTCATGTTTCTAAAATATAGTTGGCTTTTCCATATGCATTCTTTTTTTTTTGAGTTGGAGTCTCACTGTGTCGCCCAGACTGGAGTGCAGTGGCCGCTCCCGGCCACCGCAGCCTCAACCTCCTGGGCTCTGGCGATCCTTCCGCCTCAGCCTTCCGAGTAGCTGGAATTACAGGCGTGCGCTACCATGCCCAGCTAATTTTTTTATTTATTGTAGAGATGAGGTCTCACCAAGTTGCCCAGGCGGGTCTCAAACCCGCGGGCTCAGGCAATCCACTCACCTCAGCCTCCCAAAGGCACAGAAGGTCAAGGATTAAATGCTTGTATGTAGCCAGGTAGACTTATACGTTAGAATCTGTGAATGGAGGGAAAAGGAAATCTGGGCATCTTCAGAAACCCAAAGTTGGTTACAGTTGCAACCACAGGGGTGAGCAAGCTCTGTGCATCCAAAGAAGTGCAGGTAAAGTGCATGCCCCTTTCCAAAAGCATTGAAGATCTGACTTAGTTGTCTGTGACCTTAGGATTTATACTGCCTGCCCCCATATCTTTCCTAACATATGTGAAGCAGTCCTACAAAACAGTTTATTTTGGACAGACACATTTCTTAATAGAGGATTTATTTAAATTACCTGCTGTGAGAAGATTTGGCAAAATAGAATTCTAGTTTATGTGTGTGTGTTTCTTTGTCTTTCAAAATTCTGCCTATGTGGTAAAAATTTTTTTAAGATTTTGTTATAGAAGATTATCTTCTTCTAGAGTTGAGCCCAGTTTTTCTAGTAAGATTTGTAAGGCAAGGAATGTTTGCTGCAGCATTAGGTATACATTATAAAGACACCAAAATAACCTTTTAGAAATTTTTTTTTGTTATAGATTCAGGGGAATACACATGTGGGTTTGTTACACATGTGTACTGTGTGATGATGAGGTTTGGGCTTCTTGTGAACTCTTCACCAAAATAGTAAACATGGTATCCCATAGATAGGTTTCACCCCTTCTCCTTTTGGAGTCCCTTGTGTCTATTGTTTCTATCTTTATGTTCACGCGTGCCCATTGTTTAACTCCCATGTATGAGTGAGAATATGTGAGAACATTTATTTATTTATTTATTTTGGAGTCGGAGTCTCACTCTGTCGCCCAGACTGGAGTGCAGTGGCTACTCCTGGCCACTGCAGCCTTGACCTGCTGGGCTCCGGCAATCCTTCTGCCTCAGCCTTCCAAGTAGCTGGAATTACAGGCACGGGCTACCATGCCTGGTTGATTTTTTGATTTATTGTAGAGATGAGGTTTCGCCAAGTTGCCCAGGCGGGTCTTGAACCCTCAGGCTCAGGCAGTTCACTCACCTCAGCCTCCCAAAGTGTGGGATTACAGGCTGAGCCGAGCCTGGCTCATTTATTTTTTTGAGTTGAAGTTCCACTCTGTTGTCCAGACTGGAATACAGTGGCATGCTTATGGCCACTGCAGCTTCGACCTGTTGAACTCAGGCAATCCTTCCGCCTCAGCCTTCCAAGTAGTTGGAATCACAGGCACACACCACCACACCCAGATAATTTTTTGATTTATTGTAGAGATGCGGTCTTGCCATGTTGCCCAGGCTGATCTTGAACTCGTGGGCTCAGGCAATCCTCTTGCCTCTGCCTCCCAAAGTGCTGGGATTACAGGCATGAGCCACCTTGCCTAGCTGATATTTGATTTTCTGTTTGAGTTATTTCCCTTAGGATTGGTTGCTGCAAGGGACATGATTTTATTCTTTTTTATGGCTGCATAATATTCCATGGTGTGTATACCACATTTTCTTGATCTAATCACCATGGACATGTAGGTTGATTTCATGACTTTACAATTGCGGATAGTGCTGAGATAAACATGTGAGTTCAAGTGTCTTTTTGATAAAGCAATTTCTTTTCCTTTAGGTCGATTCCCAGTAGTGGCATTGCTGGGTCAAACAATAATTCTATTTTTAGTTCTTTGAGAAATCTCCATACTGTTTTTCATAGAGGTAGAACTAATTTACATTCTTACTAACAGTGCATAAGGTCTTCCATTTCTCCAACCTTACCAACATCTGTTATTTTTTGACTTTACAATAATAGCCATTCTAACTGGCATGAGGTGTTATCTCATCATGGTTTTGATTTGCATTTCTCTGATGATTAGTGATATTGAGCACTTTTTCAAATGTTGGCCACACATGTCTTCTTTTGAGAAGTTCTTTTTTTTTCCTTGCTGATTTGTTTAATTACTTACAGATTCTGGATATTTGTTAGATGTATAGTTTGCAAATATTTTTTCCCATTCTGTAAGTTGTGTGTTTACTTTGTTTATTGTTTCTTCTGCCATGCAGGAGCTCTTTAGCTTAATTAACTCCCATTTGCCTATTCATGGATTTCTTTCATTTGCTTTTAAGGTCCTAGTCATAAATTTTTTGCCTACGCCAATGTGCAGAAGAGTTTTTCCTAGGTTTTCTTCTAGGAATTTTATAGTTGTAGGCTTTACACTTAAGTCTTTAATTCATCATGACTTATTTTTTATATATGGTGTGAGGCAGGGATCCAGTTTTATTTTGGATATGGCTAGCCAGTTTTCCCAGCACCATTTATTGAAGAAGGTGTCCTTTCCCCATTGTTTATTTTTGTTGTGCTGAAGATCAGTTGGTTGCAGGTATGTGTCTTTATTTCTGGATTTTCTATTCTGTT